ATCTCCCCAAAACCCCAAAACCCCAAAACCCCTTTAGATACAAAGAAATAGAAACAGGTGGGAAAAATATTAATTAATTATCATCCTTATCATGGCGGCATTTGATGTTGATGACTACATGGAGAGTATTTATCAAAGAGACTCTATTAAGAAGATCAAGATGAAACATGTTAAGGTCCCAACGCTAGATATTGATACCATTATCCAAGTCAAGGTGTTATATAAAGGAATCATTGATAAATTTATTGACTGGGATTTTGAAGACACTTCATTACGACCAATTGAGGTTGCTACAGACTTGGTAGACTCTTTGGATATCCAGGATAATAATAAAAGATTAGAAGTGATAGATTCTATCACTGAGAGCATCTCAGAACAACTTACAAGATACCTTGAAGATAGTGTAGAGCAACAAGCATCAATTGCAAGAAGGAAGAAAATTACACCCTCAACTATAGCCTGTCCTGAGTGAGACTCTATATTTCAGCCTGATGATGAGAATTGTATTCAATGTGGATTTGTTCTCAAAAAGAAAAATGAAACTAAGTTCATTCCCAAGCATTATGAAAACATAAAGATCATTGGAGATAATGATAGCTTAGAGTTTACATCCAGGCCAAGTAGAACAGAGAGACAGTTCAGAATACAGCAAAAGAAATTAGAAAAGAAGACTAGGAGCAGAATCCATAAAACTAAAGACTACCTAACTGATGATAAGTATAGTTGCCAACTATGGTCAAGGATTATTAAGGATCCTCTTATCAATAATTGAGAAGGACTTGAAGATATGATTAGTAAAGAAGATGCATCTTGATTGAGAAGTCTTTACACAAGACTCAAGGAAATTTTCTGAAATGATCCAGAATATAGATTTGAGCTTGATGATCAACAAATAAGAGATATCCATTACTTATTAGATAAGACTTATGAGGACCTGTTGACTGATAATCCAATTACTGATGAAATCTTTAGACAACCATACACAAATGAGGATCCTTTAGCTTGGAAGAATGTGCTTGAAGAAACTCACAACCCTGACCCCAAAGTACAAAGATTCAGACCCTATAACATGGAAAGTCATGTGTTCAGAAATATTAGCCATAATCAGCTTATTTTGTCCAACATGGATGCAGAAAATGATGATAATATTCCTTTACAGACCTTGCTAGATTCAAACCAGAAATTGTCAGCTTACTTGATGGAGAAAGACCAAGTGCAACCTCGTAGGAAAGGAAGGCCAAAGAAACATGATTACTACACTGAGCCAATCGTCAGAATTGGGGATCTCAATACCTTGGTAAAAATATTACGTGAGCAAGCTCAGATTCAAGATCCTTCACTGAGATCAATAAGAGAAAGAGTATCGATCAAGAAGATCTCAAAAGAGGAAAATAAGGATCCCCAAAAGTGTACTAAATGCATGAGAATATCTAAAACCAAGCTTTTAGTCTGTGAGAATTGCCCAGTGGTTTATCATCCTAGTTGTATGGGATATGAAGGAAACTTTCCCAGAAGAAAATGGAAGTGATATTTCTGCAAGATAATCAAGTATGGTCTCAAGTGAAACCTGACAAAAATTGCACCCGCAGAGAGTCAATGGTGTAAAAGTTTATTAGGTATGATAAAAAGCGACTGGAAGGAAATAGCCTTGAAGCTAATGGAAGTTATATCAGAATATCCTGCTTCCAAATCTTTCTGGTATACTGAAAAGAGAGACAAGAGAGAATATCAGCAAAAGCAGACATATCCTATGAACATGGCAAAGATCAAGAAAAATCTAGAATATGATATTGATTCTTCAAAGCTTCCTAAAACTGCTCAGAATACTGAAAGTTCATTAAAATATGAAAAGCTTGATGATTTCTTGGCTGATTTACTTACAGTTTTCAGAAACACTCAATTATTTATTGATCCAAATAAGATGAAGTACAAGTACTCAGAAGCATGTCAGAAGTTTGTGATGTACCTGCTTCAAGAAGAAGATATTTTCCAGACCCAGAAACAGCCTGAAAAACGAATCAACAAAAGAGAGTCCTTTACTGTTGCAGAAATACAAGAAAGCAAATCAGAGGAAATCTCTGATCTTGAAGAAAGAGAAAAACAAATGAACGAAAAGCTTGGAAGTGATGAGGATGATTACAACATTGTTCTTGAGGATAACTCCTCTGATGAGAACAAGGAATAAGACGACTGAGCTAGTAAACAGTGTTTCGATTTAAGAAATTTGAATACATTCAACAGTTTCAGAATCATTCAACATTCTTCTTGTAATTGGGGTTTTGGGGTTTTGGGGTTTTGGGG